GTGGTGGCACTTTTGAGCTGCATTACTAAATGCACTGACTGCTCAGTCTTTGGTCACCCCCAGTTTGTTTATAACAAGGAAGGTGTTGTGAGAATTATAAGGTCTAAGATATAAAATAAATGTTCATAAAAGTACCAGGCAAACACATACATAAATATATAAACCATATGTCTGAAACAGTCCTAAAGCCATTTTGACTCTTTCAGTGACCTCAAATATTCCTCCGCAGTTTGGATGGAAATGGGAAAAACCTCGCCATTGTCTCTGTGCTTACAAATCCTGCCTTAAGGGCACATTTGGGTATGAATAGGGTGAGCCTGTGACCTGGACTCAGGAATTACTGTAAGTATATATCATCACAAAAGAATGGCCAAGCTGTCCAGGTAAACCCATTAACAAGTTTCCTGCCAGGCAGGATTCTGCTGTAGACTGCCCCTTCTGTGATGTATGTATGATGTATTGTGGGGTGGTCTTGATCTAAAAGGTAAAGGACCCTGACAGTTAAGTCCAGTCGCGAACAACTCTGGGGTTGCAGCACTCATCTGGCTTTAGTGGCCGAGGGAGCCAGTGTTTGTCTGCAGACAGCTTCCAGGTCATGTGGCCAACATGACTAAGCTGCTTCTGGCGAACCAGAGCAGCGCACGGAAACACTGTTTACCTTCCCGCCGGAGCAGTATGTGGGGGTCAGGTGGGATTGCTATGAGGAATTATGAAAAATGGAACAAGCCATTGTGTCGCAATGAAAACACTCCTTGACTGGGTTTGAGTCATTGACAATAATTTCCGATCGAATCCCACAAGCCTCTGCACCTCTGCCATTTTCTTTCTCTACGCCTGACAGGCAAGTAAAAGCATTCTAAACACAGGCCAGTTGTTCACCAGGCATCCTGAGCCATAAAGGTAGAAGGTAGCTTTGATGTAGCTTTTGTTAGTTTTGTTAATCTTTAGATAGATCTTAAGAGCCAGGAACAGAGTTTACATGGAGATGGTAAATGCGTCTTTCTTTCCTATGGGTTTATGACCTCCGGGGGGTACTAAATGCATTCTTCCTTGGTTCCTGTTTAATTAGCTTAACCACGTATGCATGCTCAAGTAGGAAATAGTTTCTTTGTAGTTAAAAGGATTTCTTCTGATCTGACTTTGTCCCACGTGGGGTTTTCGAAATGCTCAGAGGAAATCTGATTGGTTCTTACGAACACTGTGTAAAAAGTTCTTTTGTGAATAAAACGACCTGGGCCAAGGGATGGACAAATTATTATTGGCACTTCCAGAGTCTTGCTGGTCAAGCCTCGTGTGTATTTTATTAATCAGAGTCCAATCCTTCCTTGCTTTTGGAATGCAACATTTATCTATTTATCCACTTTCACTTTGACATGCTTTTGAACGCTAGGTTGGCAGGAGCTGGGACCCCCATCGTGGGGATTCGAACCGCCGACCTTGCGATCTGCAAGCCCTAGGCTCAGTGGTTTACACCACAGTGTCACCCGTGTCTTGATCTACAGGGTGGCAATTTCAAAAGTCTATATAAGGGCTTGCACACCATTGTTCTGGGTTCCTCCTCCCTCCTGCGTGGGGTGGTGGTGGTTTGAGCGCCCTGTTGCAACAGTTTAATAAAGATCAGGCTTACTAACTGCTTTGCTTCTCAATATTCTCTGGTTGGCCTCTGTTATTTTCTCCTACCAATAGGGAACTCAATTTAGGACTCTATATGGGCTCTTGGGTACCCCATAAGGGAAAAGGAGCAGTTTTATAACAGAAGACAAGCAAGAGTTGAGGGTTTCGTGGAAGAGGAGGGCCCCAGCTGGCAAAAGGAACTTCAGGAGATACAGGAAAGGCTAGAGAACCTGCAGCACCCTAAGTTGAAAGTGGAGGGCATGCAGAGCCTACTCAAATCCTTTAAAAGTGGCTGTTGGGAGGGGAAACTAGCAGAAGCCAAGAAGAGAGGAGAGGGCCTCTCGTTGTGGATTAAAGGCTAGTGAGGAGACTCACGTGTTCTGTGTTGCATCCCATGACTTTAACACCAGGGCACAGAGCCATGGCGGCTTTCTCGTGATTAAACACTCGGAACTGCACAAAGCCAGCGACAAATTCGGCTGAGAAAAAGAAAGGAGAAATAGCAGAAGTGTCTTTAGTCCCTCTGGTGGAAAACCTTGGCCAGCAGCTGGGCGTAAGGACATCAGAAAAGCCAGCTGGATCCAGCCAGGAGCCCACCTAGCCCAGCACATAGCTGTCAACTTACAGATTTGAAAATAAGGGACCAGCCAAAATAAGGGATTTTCAGAGCACAAGTATGTTCAACTTCTGAGCCCCTCCGAGCCAAAAACAGAAAGCCCAGCCAGCAGCCAAACGAAGCCTCAAGCGGTGGTTCCCACAGCGCAGCAACCCGGCAAAGGGGATGCAGCAAGGAAAACCACCGTCACCTCTCCATTGGGAAGCACTGAGCAAAGGCGAGTCCCCTGGCAACGCGGCTGATTTGATTGCCACAAGGCATGCAAGCTCCACCCCCCCAGTCGTTCTTAGACTCCTTATTGGGTGAGCAACACAGCCAAGCAACACAGTTGGAGCCTCCCTCTTCCCTGGCCAGCAGGGAGGGAGGGAGAGGAGCTGCTTTGAAACCCAGGAAATTTAAGGGACATCATCAATAAGGGGGGACACAGCGCTGGGATAAGGGAGTTTCCCACCAAATAAGAGACAGTTGACAGCTATGGCCCAGCATCCTGTTCTCACAGGGCCCAACCAGATGCCCCTTCTGGGAAGTCCAAAAGAGGACCAGAGCAGAAGAGCCCCTCTCTCCTCCTGTGGTTTCCAAGAACTGCTATTTAGAAGCATTACTGCGAGACAGAGGATAGCCATCTAGTATTACTACTATTAAAATTTGTATACCGCCCTTCATCTGCAGATCTCAGAGTGGTTCACGACATAAAAATACAACATGAAAGCACAAAACACATGATAGAAACAACAACAAAACCACAACCCAATACCCCCCAGTGAATTTGTCTAATCCTCTTTTAAAGCCATCCAAGTTGGAACAAGTTCCATAATAATTTATCTATGCACTTCCTGAAGAAGCCCTCATTTTTTGGTCTGTCCTGAATCTTCTAACATGCAGCTTCATGGGATGTGCATGAGTTCTAGTGATAAACAAGAGAGGGACAAAAACTTCTCTATTTGCTTTCTCCGTGCCACACATAACTGCATAACTTGAGCCTCACTCACACTGCCACAACCTAAACCTTTGTTGCAGAGATACATAATTTGTTATTTACCGTATTTTTCGCTCTATAGGGTGCACCGGACCATAGGGCACACCTAGATTTTAGGGAGGGGGAAAATAAAGGGGGGAACTATTCCCCCCCCAGCCCCAAAGAGCAAAGAAGCCAAGACAGCGAGCGGGATCCATCCCGCTGGCTGTCTTGGCTTCCTCTTTAGCCCCACGCAACCTCTCCATCCGGGAGAGGCTGCGCACGGCTTTGGCAGAAGCCAAGACAGTGAGCAGGATAGATCCCGCTCGCTGTCTTGGCTTCATTTTTAGCCGTGGAACTCCCGCCGGGCTCCGAAGGCTTGCGGATAGCTGCCTGAAGCCCGGTATGCGCAGCCTGCATTCGCTCCATAGGACGCACACACATTTCCCCTTCATTTTTGGAGGGGAAAAAGTGTGCCCTATAGAGCGAAAAATATGGTATTTTTTAAAAAATAAGCCAGGTAAGGTGAGCATGCGAGGGAACCCAGTTCTTCAGTAAACCCAGTTTTTCAATAAATGTGTCTCAGGCCTTGCAACAAAGCATCTTGGCAAATAGGCAGGCAGACAGTCAAGTTAGGCACCTGAGTGAGTTGAGCAGCAGGCCGAGGAGAGACCTCACCAGAGCCCTCAAGAGCCCTGTCCCCATTTCTTATTTATGCTCAGCCACAGTCTGGTCAAAGGAAGCAAGACTTACTTCGCCCATTTGGAGAATAGTAGTCCGAGGTATTCTGGGCACTCCCTGCATCGTAGGTGACGGGGACGGCTGGGCCGTTGTTGGTCTGGCAGGTGCCAATCCCATAGGTCACGGGGTATTTCTGAAAAGAGAAGCAGGAAGGGATCTGAGGCTCGCTTTGGGCTTGTGGCGTTCCTCATGCTCAGCCAGAAAAGATCCATAAGGGAGGAAAGGAGATCCAGAACATCTAATTACTCTCAGCACAGGGACGTGACACAGGCCAAGGGGACGGGAGCCCCAGTACAAAAAGACAGCGGGTGAATTGGGCCCCTTCTAGGGTGGAGCTGCTCCCACTTTTTCTGTCTCCTCTGCCTCAGAGAGACCCCCCAAATCTCCCACCCAGCCTCATCCCAGACTTGAATGAAATTAGGGACACCCTATTCCATATCCTCCAATGTTTCTCTGATGAAAACACGGACATCCTAAGCAAAAGCGATGGGACTCGGGTGGCGCTGTGGGTTAAACCACAGAGCCTAGGACTTGCTGATCAGAAGGTCGGCGGTTCAAATCCCTGCAATGGGGTGAGCTCCTGTTACTCCCTGCTCCTGCCAACCTAGCAGTTCAAAAGCATGTCAAAGCGCAAGCAGAGAAATAGGTACCGCTCTGGTGGGAAGGTAAACGGCGTTTCCGTGTGCTGCTCTGGTTCGCCAGAAGCGGCTTAGTCATGCTGGCCACATGACCCGGAAGCTGTTCGCCGGCTCCCTCGGCCAATAAAGCGAGATGAGCGCTGCAACCCCAGAGTCACGACCGGACCTAATGGTCAGGGGTCCCTTTACCTTTACCTAAGTAAAAGCGAGAACATTCCAGGACCAAATCAGAAACTGGGATGGCTTCTGTAAATCTGGGACTGTCCCTTGAAAATGGGGGCACTTGGAGGGTCCGTGAGACCCCAGTATGTGACCAGGGGGTGCCTTCCTGCCCTGCTTGTGGGCTTGCTGGAGGCCCCAGGCCCAGATGGGGCCCTGATCTGGGGTCTCCGCCACAGCAGGGCTTTCCTAGGGAAACCTGGAGGCCTGGGGAAGGGCCCTTGTAGCTCAGTGGCAGAGGGTCTGCCTTGAAAGCAGAAGGTCCCAGGTTCAATCCCTGCTGGTGGCCTCCCCAGGTGAGGTTAGAGGGACACTCCTGTCTAAAATCCTGGAGAGCCATTGCTGTCTGTCAGTGTAGACGGTTTTGAGGGAGCTTCCTGGGTCCTGATTACTAAAAAAAAGGGGGGGGAGTCTCCTGACCCGCTCAACCACCCAAATCCCAAATGCTGAGTCAGCCGGCAGAAATCCTGAGTCATGACTTGCTTACCTGGTAGAGCCTGAGAAGGTTCCCTCCAAGCTCAGACAAGAACCCGGTTTCGGTGCGGTATCTCAGGAGCGAAGACTCGCGCCATTTCTTCATGGGGGTGTTGTTGGGGACGTGCCATATGGCCATGTCTGCTGCTTCAAGGTCATAATAGCCAGGATTCTGGAAAGAAACAGAATTAGGGGTGTGAGAGGGTTTGGTTTTTAAATTGGGGTGTGTGTGTGTCTTTTACAGTAACAGGAGACACTGTCGAGAAAGAGCCTTTTCCTCTGTATTTCCCCCCCTCGCAACTTCCACTGATTACCGTATTTTTCGCTCTATAGGATGCACTTTTCCCCCCTCCAAAAATTAAGGGGAAATGTGTGTGTGTGTCCTATAGAGCGAATGCAGGCTCCTTGGCTTCAGCGATAGCAACGCGAAGCCTCCGAAGCGCAGAGGGTGCGCTCTCTCCGCACTCCGAGGCTTTATGTTGCTTTCGCTGTAGCCTGGAGAGCGAGAGGGGATAGCCGCTTCAGGGATGGCCGCCTGAAGACTTCGGAGCGCAGCGCGAGTTCCCGCTGTGCTCTGCAGGCTTCAGGTTCCTTTCGCTGAAGCCAGGAGAGCAAGACTCTCCTGGCTTCAGCAGAGAGGGAGAGCTGCGCAGCGCCCCTTCAGCCAAGCGGGAGGAGAAATGGAAGGGGCTCCGTTTCTCCTGCCACTTTCCTGAAGGGGCGCTGAGCAGAGAGGGGGAGAATTTTTTTTCTTGTTCTCCCCCTCTAAAACAAGGTGTGTTCTATGGTCCGGTGCGTCCTATAGAGCGAAAAATATGGTATACAGTGGTGCCCCGCAAGACGAACGCCTCGCAAGACGGAAAACCCGCTAGACGAAAGGGTTTTTCCGTTTTGGAGGCGCTTCGCAAAACGAATTTCCCTATGGGGTTGCTTCGCAAGACGAAAAAATCTTGCGAGTCCCCGCGGTTTTTTTCCGCTCCCCCCCCTTTTCCTAAGGCGCTAAGCCGCTTATCAGCTGTTCCGCTGATAAGCCGCTTAACAGCTGATCGCGAAAAGCCGCTAGACCGCTGTAGCGCTAATCCGCTAAGCTGTCAATGGGCTTGCTTCGCAAGACGAAAAAACCGCTAGACGAAGAGAATCGCGGAACGGATTCTTTTTGTCTTGCGAGGCACCACTGTATTTGTGGCCTGTACAGGCAGTCTATTTTTGTCCCTGTTTTTGCCTTTTAGGGGGATGTCTTTGAAACATTTCCCGATGTACCTTCAATTGGCAGAATTGCCATTCTGACACAGGTCAGACCCACATTTGTAAGAACTCAGTCATTTAATATGGCGAAACTTTGGAACTCCCTGCCTCTTGATATCAGGCGGTGCTGTCACTGTACCTTTCCGCGGAGCCTCCAGTTTAGACAACCCTCCGCAGATGTTTAGAAAGTTGACGCAGATTTTAATTTGTTTCCATCTCTTGTTATTTTAACCTTTCACATGTTTTACATTACTGCTGGGGCCAAGCTCTGCTGAACTCAGTAGCAGTGGACTTCTGAATAGGCAGACAAAGTTCACCTATTGCGCCACTACAAAGACAGTCTCACCTTGTAGTCATCACTGGTTGAGGCTATAGCTGACCCAAAGGTGGAGTTGTTGGACCAGTTTCCATCTCCTGTAGCGTAGTTGGCGTCACTGCCTTGCTGGCTGGACCAGCGGTCCCCCACAGTGCATTTCCCATACATGTTGTTTTCGTGGACGCTGGCCACCAGAGTCCAGCCTCCTCCGTTGGTGGTCATGTCACAGAAGGTCTGGTAGATCTCTCCGTATTCCGTGGCCAGGAAATACAACCCATCTGCTCAAAAGACAGGATCAAGACAGGACCTTTTCCCCGCCCCTTAATATAATGTTTATTAAATTTTCTTTTTTCCTTTATAACAACCAAATAAAATTTCTTCATCACGTATCTCTGCTTTGACTTCCTCCCATCCCCCTCCCTGACTTCCATATGTAATCACTTTTATCTTCGCATTTCTAAATCATCACCCTATTTACCTTATCTCCATACTTAAAAGACTTACTTCTAATATTTATAAACAGGTATCAAATCATAACCTTACAAAATATTTTAAATCAATCTTGCGAATGTTTTCAAATGTTTGCAATGTTCCTTCATATATTGTACAAATTTATTCCAGTCCTTTTCAAACAGTTGCACTGGTTTTGGATTTTCCCCGTCAGTCTCACCAGCTTAACCTATTCAATCATCTTTGTCTGCCATTCTTCCAACGTTGGAAGTTCTTGCTGCTTCCATTTCTGGGCTAAAAGTATCCTTGCTGCCGTGGTAGCATACATAAATATATTTATGTCTTTTTTGGAAATTTCTTCACCTATTATCCCTAATAAGAAAGCCTCTGGTTTTTTACTAAAGGTATTTTTGAAAATCTTTTTCAGTTCATTATATATCATACCCCAGTAGGCTTTAAACTTAGGACATGTCCACCACATATGAAAGAAATTCCCTTCCTTCTCCTTACATTTCCAACATACCTTATCTTAATTTCTATACATTTTAGCTAGTCGGCGTCAAATACCACCTATACATCATCTTCATTAAATGTTCTTTTAATGCCGTACAGGCAGTGAATTTAATTGTTTTTGTCCATATTCTTTCCCACATCTCTAATTCTATATTGTGACCAAAATCTTGCACCCATTTAATCATAATTGTCTTAACTCCTTCAGGATCAATACAGGATCAAGCAATTGGGTGGTCTTAAGAAGACTTGGCCACCTTTAGATCAGTGCTTCCCAAACTTGGGTCTGTTTACGGACTACAATTCCCATCATCCCTGACCACAGGTCTTTGTTAGCTAGGGATGATGGGAGTTGTAGTCCACGGAAGTTGTAGTCCTCACCTGTGCACCCTGGCGAGGAGCTCTTGATTTCTTTGCAGCTCCTTGGAAGCTTGTGAAGACCGTGTGGATTGCTTGTGCTGCAGGATGAGGCCTCTTCCCACTTCTGCAGCAGACCCAGGACATCTTGCTTTGCGGAGCTGAGGCAGCAGCTGCTATCTGCGTGCAGGACGATAGGTGTGAACAAGCTGCGTTACCCAGACATATGGAGAGGGAGTTGCCCAGGTTGGAAGACGGAAGCAGGATCCAGGGCGACCTTGGCAGGACGGGGAACTGGGCCAGAACTAACAACATGAAAGTCAACAGAGATCAATGCACTTACGTAGGCAGACTCACAGGGACAAAATACAAGAAGGGTGACAACTTGGCTTGACAGCAGAACCTAGGAAAAGGCATCCAGGTTTTTAATGGATAAGCAAAACATGAGCCAGCAGTGTAGTATGGCAGCAAAATGGGCCAGTGCAATTCTAGGTTGTATCAAAAGAAGTATAGTGTCCAGAATGTGAGAAGTAATGGTCAGTACTTTTTCCCCCTGGAAAAATAGGTGAGAAGGTTGGCAGTTTGAATCCCCACGACAGGAGGAAGGTCCTGTTGCTCAGTCCTTGCTCCTGCCCACCTAGCAGTTTGAAAGCACGAAGTGCAAGTAGATAAATAGGGACCGCTCCGGCGGGAAGGTAAATGGCATTTCCATGCGCTGCTCTGGCTCACCAGAAGTGGCTTAGTCATGCTGGCCACATGACCCGGAAGCTGTACGCCGGCTCCCTCGGCCAATAAAGCAAGGTGAACGCCACAATGCCAGAGTTGTCCGTGACTGGACCTAACGGTCAGGAGTCCCTTTACCTTTACCTTACTCACCATGGTTACAGTAAGTGCCACACTTTTTAACAACAAAAAAGAGGTGCCAGTACTGTGTACCCATGAGTAAAGTAAAGGTAAAGGTACCCCTGCCCGTACGGGCCAGTCTTGACAGACTCTGGGGTTGTGCGCCCATCTCACTCAAGAGGCCGGGGGCCAGCGCTGTCCGAAGACACTTCCGGGTCACGTGGCCAGCGTGACAAAGCTGCATCTGGCGAGCCAGCGCAGCACACGGAACGCCTTTTACCTTCCCACTGGTAAGCGGTCCCTATTTATCTACTTGCACCCGGGGGTGCTTTCGAACTGCTAGGTTGGCAGGCACTGGGACCGAGCAATGGGAGTGCACCCCACCGCGGGGATTCGAACCGCCGACCATGCGATCGGCAAGTCCTAGGCTTTTACCCACAGCGCCACCCGCGTCCCATGTACCCGTGAGTACCCTTTAAAAAAAAAACACCAAAAACCAAAACCCAACAGCACTGGTACTGCTCCATTCTACTTTGGTCAGATTTCACCTGAATACTGTTTCCAGTTCTGGTTGTCAGGAAGGGATATGAACAAACTGGAAATGGGGGCAGTCAAGGGCCTGGGAAGCCAATCCTGTGAGAAATGGTTTAAGAAGCTTTGTTCAATCTGGAGAAGAGACCAAAGGCTGAGACACACACACACACACACACACACACACACACACACACTCTCTCTCTCTCTCTCTCTCCTGACACTAGAACCCGGGGGACATCTAATGAAGTGGAATATTGGAAGAGTCAGGATGGAGAAACAAAAGGGCTTCTTCACGTAGCACATCGTTAAACTATGGAACTCCCTGCCACAGGGGGCGGTGATGGCCACCAGCTTGGATGGTTTTTAAAGAGGATTGGGCAAATTCATGGAGGAGGAGGAGGAGACGACTATCAATGGCTACTAGCAGTTCTGGAAGCCGCAGGAGGGGAAAGGGCTCTTGCGTTTGGATCCTGATTGCGGGCTTCCCACGGGCAATTGTTTGGCCCCTGTGAGAACAGGATGCTCTACTAGACAGGTGGTTGGCCGCCTGACCCAGGAGA